TATCTCGGAAACGAAGGGCCATAAGCACAAACGGTTTTAGAGTTTTCTTAGTCTCATCAAGATCTACTTATGGCCAAAAGACGGAGTCAAAAGCGAGGAATCAGTTGGGGAAGTTCCCTCGTTAGTTGTAGTGTCGGTCCAGGTAAAAACACTTTTTTGGTCCTGATCCCGCCCATGTCTAACATACGCATACATATGTACTTTTCTCGTTGTTCTTTTCCTTTCCTCTTTGCATCAATTGAGAATGACCTAGAGTGATGACGCATGAAACGTTTGAAAAATTTACTGTTTATATTTTGCCTTTTTCTTTTCATATGTGCTTTTGCTTTGAAGACGTCCTGAAAACACGTATAATGGTACCGAACGATCGATGCCATTGAGTTAAGGGACGTTTTATCTGGAAGCCAAAAATTCTTTGACCATTAGATGATAGTGTCAGCCGTCTGTAGCCAGGATCTTTATTTTGTTAAAATCAATAGAGTGTCGGATTTGTACAACATGCTATCCCAAAGCAGAGGTAGGTTTATATTCAGTCACTAAATCCATTTGTGTAGAGCTGCTCTTTATACTCGATTCAACCTGACCGTATATACAACCTCAGATAGCTGCTCTATACTCAAATAATCGTTTCAGTTGTTGTCTGAAATCATAACTAGTTTTTCCTGCAAAAGCTATTCCAACGTAATTGGTTTTTAAGAGAGAGTCCTCCAAAATGCCGACCATGGCCGGCACCGGATGATTGTCCAATTGAGTTCATATTTGAAAGCCCTAACAATGTGGAGACTAACCATCTATTTAAATATTTTGAAAATGTTTTTATCAAAAGGTCAGTGCGACATTTATTTTTGCTACTCTACACTTCATTGAAAACATTCAATTTTCTAATATTGCTCCGTATTATTCGAATTTCTCAAACGCCATCCAGTCAAATTTTTTGGTTCAGGTACTACTTGAAAGAGGAGATTTAGGACAATACATCAATACTAAAATGTTTAGTCAATCTTCTTCTTTTGCTACGCGAAAAGTCCTTTCCTTAACAATTTTTAATTTCAAAGTTATCGTTTTTTTTTGAGTTTTTTGTTCTTTTGAGCACCTTATTTGTTCCATAGCTTTCTTTTCCCTGGTAAAAAGTCTTTCTGCCAGTTCCCTTCTCTGCTGCTGACTTTCTGCCAGTTGCAAAAATTGGCAGTGTGTGTGACAGACATCTCTGCCAGTGGGCAATAAGTTTTTATAATTGGCTGTATCACATGATTTTCTTCCAATTGACAGAAATGTTTGTGACACTCTACCAATTGGACTTCCTAACTTAACTTAGGGAATTTTTCTTATTCTCTTATGGTTTATAGGATATCGCTTCTTTTCAATCCAGCATCCATTCAAATTAAACATCATGTCGTAGTGACCTACATATTATGCATTTTGCATTGGAAACTCTAAAAGCTTATTCCATTAAACTGTTATAAAAACACTCTTGAATGTCCTTATTAGTCTACCAGCTTAAAAAAGAAAACCGTAAAATATTGACAGTAGATTCTTACAGTTGTTAGTTGGCCGGAGAGGAGTAGATTTCGAGAAGACTAGGTTCTAGGAAGACGCAGAACACGGTTTTCAGTTGTGAAAGTCGAAAAAATATCAATCTCAAGGTCTAAAAAGTCTATTCAGTCGAATTCTAACTGACTTGCAGTGAGAATACACAAGAGAAAAAAAGTGTGTCACAGCGTTACTTTAGTAAATTGGGTTGTGTAGACTAAGTAAAGGATTCTGAAAAAAATATTTTTTAGCAAAAGAAACCTCGTTAGTTCCTCTATAAACTTTGCTCAAGACACTTTTTATTAGCTCGTCTAAATTTGCCGGAATTTGCACTTTAATGAGGAGTATTTAGAATGTCGGACCTTTTTATGTCACAACGTGAAGAAGAGCTGCGTCGAATGGCGCAAAAACCAACTTTCTAGCTCTTATAGTTTTCGAGAAAACCTGAAATTACTGTGTCAAAAATGTCACAACGTTACCTTTGCACAAGCTGTTCCCATTTGGAACTTTTGAAAATGATTAGAAATTAATACTAATTTAAAACAGTCTCATATTCTTCAATTTATCTACAACGAACATGCAGGATAATTGATCATATAGAGGTTTTACTTTCCTCTGAGGAAGAAAACTAAGGTATGCTGTTCTGACAAACATGTGTGCGGGCGTTCACATATTTAACAAAATCGGGAAGAAATTATACAATAATTAAATTTATACGTTAATTTTATGAGAAATCATGTTATCAACGGAATTACCACAAGGTTTAATTTTCAAGACATTTCAAGGTATTAAAGAAGAATCAAAACATCTGATAGTAAACAAAAATTATCGTCTGATTGGACCAATTGTACAAGTCAATAGGCACAGTGCTTTTATCATGAATTGGTTAGATCAACAATTTCCAAAATCAGTCATTGATAGTCCATTCGGTTCTTTAGTACGTCTAGCAGAGGACCAAACTGATCAAATTTATTTAGCATTAAAATCTTGTCGTTTTATATTGTCATTAAAACATCTTCCTCGTAATATTTGTCGGAATACAGCAAACGGTCTGATACTGGAATGAACGAATGATTCTATTACACAAATCGATACGTTTCTTTATATCACATGGTGGATGGAATTCATTTTTGGAAAGTTTAGTTAATGTAATACAAATATCAAATGCGAAATTAGGTATTCAAGGACGAATTGTACCGGCAGAGAAATATAAAATATAACTGAACAAAGCAAAACGACAAATTGAAGTTGACGGTATCATGATTTTATGGAATTAGTTAATTTAGTTACAACAGTTAAAAAAGGCAATAAAGACAGGCATAATGAACTTTAGAGAAATAATAAAGAAGCAAACAAATAAATTCTATAAAAGAATCATATAATAATCTTGGTGGCGGAACCGCTAGACTGCCTGAGGCTCAAGCCTTACCCGAATTTGACGATAAAGGCGGTACCGTACCACAACCAAAGTTTTGAAACTGCACAGTTGGTTCGTTCGGATATTTTTTAGTACAAACAGCGTGTGCGATCCATTTCTTTTATCGTTGCAAAGATATACTTAGATAGTAGAAAATCGTAGTTTAATTCCCTTGATGTTAGTCAGCGTCATATAAACTATTCCCTTGACGTTAGTCAGGGTCATTTAAACTAAAATGTTTGTATGTCCGCACGAAAAGGTTAAAAAGTTAATAGCTCTTGAGAGAAATGGTGTGGATGGTTGAAATTTAGGGATTGTAGATAATCCAGCATGGAGAATCTATTGGTGACATCGGAGGATCTTCAGAAGGTTTAGGACTATATTTTGTTTTCTAATGACTTTTAGCTACAGTTTGAATGAATATGACTAAAAAACATGATATCCGGTACATGGGGATCTCCAGAGGGTTTCCAGATAACCTCTGATTTTCTTTCGCGATTTGAAGTGTTTCTTTTAAAAAATTTTTACACGCGATTTGAGGTAAACTGAAGGGAAAACATAGTATCCGACACGTGGGAATCTCTCATTGATCTCTACCTGCGATCCTAATTAGTCAAAGTTAGTCAAATTTATTTAGTCCATGATCTAAAAAACTGACAAGGCGGTGATAAAAAGTTAAACAAAAAACTTATTTATCAAAAAGCTTTGTTGAACTTGATTGGATAGTCTTGATCTTCTTGACCTTGAATTTTATTTCGTCAGACAAATGTAGAATACAACAAAAAGGAAAGAAAAGACATTGCCCGACCGGGAACCAAAAAAGAGAGAAACTCTTATAAGTACTTCTGCCACCAATAATAAAAACACTTCTTTAGACTAACTGTTGCTCGCAATTTTATACTATTTACTTTCAGTAGAATTTAGTCTGAAGTTTGAACAATGGATCAGAGTTGTAACCGGTCTAAAAATAAGAAGCCGGACCGGGCCGGCCAACCACCGATTCAAAAATCGTTTTAGACTGGTGAAAAAACGGCAAAAGAACGACCAGTTTTGAACAAATTTTTAGACGGGTGAAGAAACGGCGGAAAGCCGGCCGGTTTCAAAGATTTTCTAGACGGGCAAGAGCGTAGAAAAACTCACTTTTTTCAGTAAAGATGAGAAAAATTCTAAGAATCAAAACCGGCAAAAAGCCGATCAATCACTGGTCAGTTTGAAAATGTTTCTAGACCGGCCGGTCTGCCGGCCCGGTTACAACTCTGCGATGGATGTAGTGACAAATAATCACACAGACTTTACATTTCCAAATAACTGCGCAAAGCACATTCAAACTGTGTTAGACTGTTATATGTGACTACATTCTCAGGTAGAGCATTCCATTCAATGGAAGTTTGATGAAAGAAAGACGCTGCTACGTGAGCCTTCTTTACAGTGCTGGTTTTAACTTGCTGAGTATTTTGCCTCTCCGAATTCATTCTTACCGAACGTCGATTCTGGCATATTTCAATGAGTGACGGGTGTATAGCCGATAATATTGAAAGATTGCTTTTTATTTGAAAAAGACGTAAAAGACGGAAATTTTCTTCTTAACGTAAGATGGAAATGTATTTGATAAGAAGATAAGAACAGATAATCGGCTATGTAGAATCGACTGGGGCAAGTTTCAGGGGCTTGCGGATCTTCAGGAACTTTTAAATTTTCTGCCGATGTCTGAGTTGCTCTCGGAAGAACAACTCGGTAGAAAAACGAATAAGTGCAGCAGTATCCGGTTCCTAGCGATATCTAGGATGTTCTGGTGATTCCTCCGTCTAGAGAATCGCAAAAGGACCTCCAAAACAGTTCGTTTTCCTGGTGTTTATTGCAATGCCAATAGTGTGAGATGACAGTGGATATGGTCTCCAGTATCTACGAATGTTTTTGCGGTTAGCTGATAGCAAGTGGCGCCCAGACGAGCCCGACGTGAACCTCACAGTCATGAGTCTTTATTAGAAAGTAGGCACCTGTTGTTGTGTTTGCGAACTATCATTTGTAGCAGTGACGTGAAACGTCTATGGCACGATGGGGACAGCTCTTCAGGAAACGTACTCATAGATTTCTTCAAATTCGAGTGACGTTTAATTACACTGTACAAGAATGTATTTGATTAAATATGTGTTCACGTTTAAAAATGTCAAAAGAACTAGGAAAAGTACGAATGCTGAATTTTAAAATTTTCTGGGTTATTTTCGACTGTTTGCGAGTTGGCATTTCAGTTAGTGGAAAGAGAATAGCCAAATAACGTTTGAAGTTCTTAAAAGTATTCTGTGAATATTTCGCCACATCTACGGGCAGTATGTCCGCCTAGTTTGAAACTTCTAGAGAATGGAGGACTGAATTACCACCTACGAATATCGTACTAAAGAGCTTTCGAAATATCCACATTATATACCTCTAGACCATGAAGTATTGCATTTCTGCACGAAACTTGCATAACACGGAATCACTTGCAGCTGAAACTTTGACGATGTAGTCTTTAGATGAAGGAAAACACAGTTTACTACTGGCTAAATTGAGTGAAGAAGAGATGATCATTATGATTCAACGTCAAGGAACCCGAATGGATCGAAGATAAGTGTTACTTGCTATCTATTTTTCTTAGTTAAAGTCATGTTTTAAAAAGTGGACATTATCATACACAATATGTAGCAAAATAAATGTCTTAAATTTTAATCAAAAAGATTTTATTCGTTTTATTTGTATGTAATTAAATATTCAGCAAATGCTTGTGCATCATGATATGTAACAAAAATATGATTCCCATCTGTAGTAGTATCAAATCCAACTGGACGTGTTTTCATTGACGAATCACCTTTTGTTGTTTTACCAATTAAAACACGTGCTAAAAACATACAACGTTCACCAGATGTTATATCAGGTTTTGCATAATCATGACTATAGCTTGCATTCGATGAAAAATAAACACCAGCACCATATACCGTACCTATAAAATAATACAAATTAGAAAAGTTATTGAGTTGAATAGTCAGCATTTGTCACACTCATGCAAGGATGAGTGAATTGCATTGGTATTGTACCGTTTCGAAAAAAAACAATTTGCGAATAAAAAAATTCTGAATCATATATTAGGTAGTACCATTTTTGAGGTTTATGGAAAAAAAACACCCAGCACTTGGTCGTATATTGGCTGAGAAATTTGATTTTTTCCAAGAGCTATACACTCTCTGAGTATTGCCAGTAAATGGACTTAGAAGAATGGACTCGGATGTTTTTCGAATAACATTTGATAGAAAGTAGCTCGAGAGCTTTGACCTACGCCATGCGAAAGAAGAGATTTGTTGACATGTTTTCACAAGCATAGACTTTTCCGGACGTGTTTTCTAGAAGATCTTTGGGAAACCAGCCCGTATGTAAAAATTTTTCAATAGGATTGTATTGATTTTCTTCCAGACTGTGATAGGCCAAGGTATCCTCTTCAAAATGCGAGTCCAGCGAGACCTTGATTTTTCGCCCCAGGGGCGCTGTATGGGATTTCCTGCGAGTCTCAGGACTGGCACCCGGTGACTATTGTGGCCTTGAAAACGGATGGACTAGAGGTAATCTATCATACTGAGTCTTTTGCCAATATTTGTTTTTAGAAAAAGGTCTAAAAGTCTACCGAAAAGCGAGTTTTACGAAAATATGGGTTTTCAGGCTGTTTTCACCTTCTATTAAAAAATTCACTGTACATTCAATAAATAAATATCAGAACTAGTGCAGACCTTCAGGGTATGGTTAATTTTCTCCGCTAAACAGGATCATAAGATCGAAAAAATCGAAAAACCATATTTGTGTTAGCGGGTTTTTCAGAAACTCTTTTGGAAAACTTTAGAGTTTTGTAAAATTTCTTTTGAGATCTCCTATAAATAGGATATAGAATAATTTAAATACTCTACATTCTGAAGTCTTGAACTCGTTCTGATGCTTATTGTGTGAACAGTGAATTTTTTAATAGATGGTGAAAACAGCCTAAGAACCCAAATTTTCGTGAAACTCGCTTTTCGGTAGACTTTTAGACCTTGTTCTAAAAACAAATATTGGCACAAGACTCAGCATGATCGATTACCTCTAGTCCATCCGTTTTCGAGGCCACCGATAGTCACCGAGTGCTAGTCCTGAGACTCGCAGGAAATCTGATACAACGCCCGAGCCACGGAAACTTTTTGCGCAACGAATATGCCTCCAAAAGGATTTAAATTCAGTTAGATAGATAGCCCTGACATCACGGAATCTCTTGATGTATTATGAGTGTCAGTTATACTCAGTTTTGATCAAGTTATAGACAGAATAAATCTCGGAGGACATTTTTGATGTAAACTGCGCTTTTCGCAGGAACGAAGTGTTTCTGAAAGCTTGTTTTTTTATCACATACTAATCGTCCAAGAAGGAAAAAAGAGTAAAATTTTAACCTCAAATGGATCACTCATCATTGAGTTATAAACAAAACAATTTTTTAAATCTCCCAGGACATTTTGTGTGAAAACAACATTGTATAGCATATCCAAACACGGTTTTTATTAACATATAAAGACTTGAAAAAAAACCTTTTTTAACAAAATGTAGGGCTACTCTTGCTCTATTTTTCTGCCTATTTGAAAACTTTTTTAAATCATTTGTGTCGTATGGAGACTGCCTTGAAGTGTCACAGGCCAAAATTTTGAAAAGTGTCTATGACAGCAGTTTTTCCTCGAGCTTTTACGGAAAATTTACCTTTACTTAAAATCGAAGTACAAAATTTGAAAGCCCTATTTTCAGACTACGAATTTCATTAAAGTATAATTCAGTAATCTTTAAATAGGATGGAGGAAAACTCCCATTTCTTTCGAGAGGCGGCGCCAAAATTACTCTACTTTGGCCTTGTTTCGTTCATATCTCGACAACCAAATGAAATAGAAACTTTTTTTTTCAGTACTGGATAAGCATCTTTAAACAAAGAAACCAAAAAGAAAATATCAAATTTTGTTCCGTAGAACGACTTTAAGCGAAACAATCGGTGAACAGCAACGATACAACGCCAATGCAATTCACTCGGATGCTAGCAGAAGGTTTTTTGAACATTTTGCCACCGATCAGGTGAAAGTTCAGACAAAAAGTCGTTTTTGCAAAAACCTTTCTTGTCATATTGTACCTAATCTCTAGGTCACTGTGGTTTTTTACGCAGAGAGAACTATATTGTGCAGACATAAACCATTAAACGATCAAAATAAATTTGTTCCTTACTCTCACTTTGGAAAAAAATCGCTAGTCGTATTCTAGCTAAATAGGAATCGTAAAAATCGTTATATACTAACCATTAACACCGGCAAAACTACGATTAAAACAATCTTCCATAATTAAATTTGCTGATTTTTCAGGACAACCATGATAAAGACGTTTTTCTGTATCAGAATTTAAACGTTTCTTAAAATGATGTGAATGTACCATATATTGTGAATACCAATGAATATTCTGTATACGTTCAATTTTTATTATCTGTGTGTATTTACCCTTCATTGTTTGATCAAAGCCATTAACTATTGTTTTATGTTCATTTGAACTACTAGGTACAATAAAAAGTATTTTATTTTCGTCTGTCGATTTTTCCCATGTTTCTGGCAATTGATGATGGATTACTGCTGATGATTTGTGTACATCATCTATAAAACGCAAAATAAAATGTGCAAATAACGCTTTTTCTCACAAGTATGCATCTTAAAGCTGTTACAATCCAATACTTCGTACTTTCACAACAGAACCTAGAGACAATATAGGGGGAGAGGAATCGCGAGAATGCTTGCTTTCTCTGTTTGAAACAGATATGTTTGGTTCACAACGATAAAAATTACTTCTAGGAGAGTAGAAAAACGTTATGTTTTCTAGCACTAGAATTTCATTCTTATTTACCTTCTACTGCTACAACATATTTACAGAATTCATCATAAATATTTTGTTGTTCTGGTTGTATAATAAACTTCACAATCAATGGATAATTTTGTCGTACTTTTAATTGACTTTTTATTTCTCTAACCATTGTTTTAACAACGATATCAGTTGAGCATCCATGTTTACCACAGCCAAGAGCGGGAAATGCAATAGATTTGTAATTGTAAGATATTACATTTTGTATAACATTTGATATAAAATCAATAATTGATTGTCTTAAAATATTATCATCCTTACTTGGTTGCCATTTAAGGAAGAATATTCGTTTACATGAAAGGTGTCCAGGTGGTGTTGAAATTATTAACGAATTTGGATTATTTTTTATTTCAGTTTCATAAACAGTTTCTGCTTCATTACCAGCTGCTTCAATAATAATTTGTTTCAAAATGTCGGATGAAGAGCTGCCGATTATCACGTCGACCTATATAGTACAAACAGGAAAGACATTAGTTTTAAGACATAACAATAGCAACGTGAATCTGAAATGAGGAGCTCAGTTCGCATAACTCTGACTCCTTTCTTACGAGGGAACCTATGGAGATGAAGCACTCCGATTTCGTTCGTTCTTGGCTGGATCGATAGGGCATGTGGAGTGGGTAAAAAGCCTAAGAGGGTTCGGGCGGAGACTTTTCCCTTGGGGAGTTATGGGCATTTTACGCATTTTCTCACGTCAGCGGAAAACAGACAAAATTAAAAAAATCACAACTCTGTCCAGGAAAGTCGTAGAGGGCTGAAAGCTTTGTTGGTGGTGGGGATAAAGGTTGTCTTCATATGGAAGTTTCAGAGTTCTATCACTTTCTCTCATTCAGAGGCAGAACATTCCATAAAGGCAAGGAAACGCCATGAGA